TATATGTATATCTTCCACGCCGTGGACTCCGCGGCACCAAAAATTTCTATACTACTTTATTACGCAGGCCTCTATAAGACTTACGGTAGCACGGTAAACCTCTATAAAAATAAGAGAGCTATCCTACGTAAACGTATTACAAAAATAAATGGCATTGTACTCTGCTAAAGAAGCAAAATGGTACAGGCGCAATGTCGAGCGACGCGAGCATCGTCAATTTAATTCCCCTCCCTCCCCTTGCTTCATCAAGTTTCCTTGTCTTCGTTTTAGGTGTCGTATCTTCGTTACGATCGTTCTTTTTTACGGTCGAATCGCTAAACCGATTGCTAAATTCGAAAGCTCGAATTCTTTTTTATTTACCGCTCCTCTTATACGAGACCTTCCCTCGATCGACCCCCAACCGAAAGTCAGGTTTAATTACATCACGTGCTACTCGTGCCAGGCGACGCGAGGGTATAAAACGTACGAGCCAGGGCTGTGCTTAACCGGGGCTATCACAAGTACGAAGTCGATCACACGGCACGATAGAGCATTTGATAAAAGTAGTCGGATCAGGAGTCAGGTTTTATAGTGTTAGGAATGAAACTTAGTGCCCTCCGATAAAACATTGCCACTTCACTCACGATATTGTTCATTGAAACGAGAAACACTCTCGAATTTAATCCTTCTCGCTCGTAATCATCCAATCGTTATGAAACATCAATTGTTTAAACGATTGTTTGTTTGGACTTAATAAAAAATTAAAAATTTTTACATATATTATACAAAAGGCATATTTCAATCAATATCTATTTCTCCCTTCAATGGATAATACGTTTCAAAAAGTGGTAATATTTCCTAGGACGACCCTGTATGTGTATATATTTCTGTAGGAGAGAGATTTAGTAAGGATGCCACCACCAATAGTTCCACACGGTTCGATCATTTAAATTTGTTGAATACATCGGGAAGATACATGCAGAGCTACTCGCTAAATTGTATGAGAATGTTAGAATATGCGATGCGTATCGCATTCTTCTCTGATATGACAATTACATCTGACATGATAATTGATTAACATGACGAAGACGAACTATCTAACATTGAGGGGTATAATGTTTTAAGATTATTCCATATGTCCCTATAATCAGTTGAATAATTGATATCATTGTATGCGTACTCAAACAATTGAGAACGAAAAATCAAACAATTTCACAAGCACAATCGTGAAACAAATATAATTTTTCAAGTTCTATTCCTTTTAGTTACATTTTTACACTTTCTTTCTTTTCTTTTTTCTCCGCTTAAATATGTGTATGGATTAATTTTTATACTCTAAATATAAAAAGAGCAGAAATGCAACTAAAACGGGCCTGTGCAAATATAAATAAAATCAAGAACTTTTATATACATGATAGACGAACAAAGAAATAAAATAACAATATATTCGATTATAATTGCACAACCGATAATAGCAAGATTATAACTATTTTCTATCAATTGAATTCGCTGCTCTAGGAATAATACTTTTTTTTATTGCAATGGATTTTTCGTTCTTAATTTAGCGCAAATAAAAATATGATTAAAAATACATTTATTTTTCGATATAAAACATTTTTCATGAGTATTATTAAATAATACTTTAAGAAGTCTGATAAAATCCAATTTTATGTGAAATATGACACAAAACATCAATTGTATATATAAATCTATACAGAAAAATAATGCATCAAAAATATACAACGAACGTAAATCTCTATATGTAAAAATCACTTTAGATTTTATTTTTTCATAGAATTATTAAAATACAGAAATATATCGTTGTATAAGTTACGACACAATATAAATAAATGTGTAGTATACTATTAGAAAAAGCACGTCTTGAAATATTCCCAAGAGCAGCTATGTATTTAAATGTTTCTTTTCTCGGCGTTTTTAAACATAATTTAAAAATTGTGCTCGCAGATTTTAAAAATAATTTAACACCAACACATAAATCGAGGACATCAAAGAACCCATTCTTTACGTATAATCAATTCTCGCGCACTATCACGGTACTCAAAAAGTGTATCCTTATCGCACGGTTGTCTTATAATTCATAATTCGATATTTATTTAATTTAACACTGAGTGATTTTTGTTATTTAATGCGTGTTACGACTGATAGCTACGTTAGCTATTAACATCGCTGATTCAAGCACAAGAGAGCAGCGTCATTGACAGACATACATAAATCAATCTACGTACAGGAAGAGTTTGATGAGATATTTTAACAAATTTTTTACTATAGTGAGAAAAAAATATAAATAAAATTAAAATAAGAAAAGAATTACACCGTGGTAATTGCATTGAACAATCTTTAACATGCGTAGAATTTTTAATTAAACTACATTATGTTACCTATTGGAAAAATTAAAATAAATTATTCGCCTATACATACTCATTTCACATCAAAGCAAACTTTTCGATAATGTTTTTTAATGTTTTTTAATGAAAATTGTATGTAATAAAAATTGAAAAATTTAGCTAGAGTAAAATGAGAATAACTCACTTATCTTTCTTTTTCGCTATAACAATCAACATACTTAATGAAATGGCACGGATAATGTATACAAACGATTGATAAAATTTTTATTAACAATAGAATTTGAGAAGAGTGCGGAAGAGTTTCCCTATGGATCTATACTTCGCAAACAAAAAGGTTACGGACGTATCTCGTAAATTAATAAACGCGTCAACAAATACAAATAATATTTTATATAATTTATTGTTATATATTACACAACACACAATGTAACATTAAATATATATCGACTTCTTTGAAAGCTAATTTCTCTCTACATAAATGGCTCAGATAATAAAAATATAAGAAAATCTAATACTGTAATAGACGGACGCAAATGAAAGCAATTTATATCTCAAACAAAAAGTAAAATGTATGTACAGAGTAATGAAAACCGTAATTTATTTATAAACGGTTAGATTATCGCTTTTTATCGTCCACGTTTATTATTATCTGTAACAACTATGCTTCTTCCGCACCATAAGATTATAAAAGATAATGACAGAATATATTTGCAGAGAATATCGCTATCTTGGAAGCAATAGTAAATTTAATATTTAATCACAAGATATGGGTTACTAATGCTAATAATAAGTCAAATTGATGTGAAAATAATGACGAAATAATTTTCATCTTTCGTTTCTTTCCGAAATAAAAATAAATATTAGCTTTGTGCTCTTAATCTCAAATAAAATTTCTTAGAAGAGTAATGCCACTGTTGATGTAAATTAATATAATAAAAAATAAAATCACAGATGTATAAATCTGAACAGTCAATTTTCACATATGATACATTTTTTACGGAAACTCGTAAAATATATGCATCGCGATAATATCCTCATTATCAAAATATATTGTCAAAATATTCGTTTATATATAGACACGTTTTGCATGCAACGTTAAGATGTAGTAAATTAAATCTTTGCAAACAATTTGAATAATATGAGATAGTTGAGAGACTATCTCTCTTATACATAATATTACAAATTTGTTCTATATTTCTTTATATATTACTCAAGACGAATATTTTGTTGTCACAAGATCAAAATATTTGATATTTTTCATATGACTATTTGCCAATATTTTGCCAATTGAAAATTAATTCAAAACATGATCATTATGTCTCATAACACCAGAGTGCAATTATATTTTATTAGTAATTATAATAAAATATAAAAACATATATATGTAGTTTTACAATCGTTCGCCGATTTTAATGTGATTAGAAATTTTTATTGAAAAAAAAAGCCTGTAATTTTTATAAATAGTAAAAGAAGTCAATTCTGTGTATCTTCTAATGATATCATTATAAACATTGGTCGTGTTCAGCTGAGACAATAATATGCGCGAGTGCTAAGCAATAATCGAACGTAATTGATTCAGCAAATAATCTCGAGTATTACACGCAATAGTTTTTTCAGCTGAACGTGTTTATTATTGCGATTTGCGAGTTATTAATTCAACTATTATTATTCAAATGAGTTCGCGTAACGTAAAAATCATTCATCCTTGACTACTTACAATCTCATCAATGTTCGTAATAATCATCATGAAATATGTAAGCGGTAACTTGAATTGTATTTTACGTAAAAACGCACATCTCATAGCTCAATACGTCTTTTGATTCCCTATTGATTATATATTATATACACAAGATGCTTTTATATAATGAATTTCGAAATTACTCGTCCGCGTGTAACATGAGTCATTCTTTTCCCTTATATGCGATAGATGACATCAGCCTATCATGTTCTCGCGTCCTCAACACGTTAAAATCAGGGTAACAAACCCTTTCGTCCAATTTTTTCATACAGATTTACTACGATAAAATCAATCTTATGTCAAATCATATATCATCAATGTAGCATCGATTGATCTCTGATATTGTAATGCAAAGTAGAGAATGAATCAGTACGAAGCGATGCAATGTCTCTATTACAATGATAATCGATCTTCCAACTACCGGAAATAATCAAGGACATTATGCGACGGAATATCAGCTGTAGAACTAAAATAAAGTAGCGCGAGTCTATTTTAGTCATGGACAGGAGAAAAGTAGAACAGAGTCAATATTACATTCTCGAACTTTTGATATCAATCATCTCAAAGACAAATTCAGTCAAACATATCGCAGTTGAAATTTCTGATACAAATACGGATTCTCTCGTTTTGTAACTTATTGATTTAACTCATAACGTTTCATATATAGAAAAAAATATTTTTTTAAAATAATTGATAAAAAAATAATAAAAGAAACTCTTTCGCGCTCAAGAAACATCGAAATTCTATCCGGTAGTTAGAGGATTAAGAAAATCTATACACAGAGCGATTTATAAAAACAAAAAAAATATAGAAAAATGAATAAAGAAATGTGTACAACGAATATTCGTTTGCCGCACATAATAAGTATAGGACTTTTTACAGACGTATTTCGCACTTTAGAAGCGCCACGGCACGTCTTTTTCTTTTTTTTTTTCCATTTTTTTTTTTTATCGTTTTTTATATGTACATATATATTGGTCCGACGAGTGCTCTCTTGAAGAAAGGACCTATATTTTGTGCCCTCTTCTTATGAAAATACACTTTTTTTGATATACATGCCACGAATAACTCGAAGATACGTCCATGGAAAAGCGATGGGTGTTATCAGCGTGAGATCGTTATTACCGATTCGGAAGTTTCGATTATAATCTCAGTGCTGGGCAATATCCTAAAAATACATGCATATAGCCTATACGTATGCGATATACTGTCTGAAATAGTTCGTATACTAAGTATTGAATAACACAGCTAAAATCTCACTACATTTTCAGGACGCTGGCTACGATCGTTCCTGACTGAAATTTATCAGTTACGTTTACTTAGAAACGTAAGTATAACTTTCAATTCTAAAAAACAAGGAGAGATTGTTGCTTTTAGTAAGTAAACTCCTTAGATCGCGAAATTAATTTGATTTCGATATATTTCAAAAATATTTGTCGTTTTTCTTTTGTGCAATTCCAGTCTTAACGTTTAGGAACGCAGGTAAATTAAAGAATTTTCAATCAAACACGTGTACTCCGTACATTATCTTTTCTTTAGACGTTTAAATAGCGTAAATTAAATATGCGCTCGAGTATTAGTAATAAATTGTGTGCAGCAGAAATATGAATTGACATTTCGCAGATTAATGTACTTTGACAGATAACGGCATAAAATGTATCGATAAGATAAAATTCGCCGCCTGAAAGCAAGATCTCTATTTCAAACAGTATGACGATTTATAAAAATTTACTAAACGTAAATCTTCGCGGCCCGTGCCCGCGCGCGCTCGTATAAAATTCTCTTTAAATGTCACATGTGTATGTAGTGTGTAATTATTCTCTCTAAACAATAACGTACGGTATCTAAATGTATGCCTTTTTTGCCCAACACTGCGAAAATGTATGCTTTAAAAAAAAAAAAGGAGGGGGGGAGATCGAAGTTGATAATTAATCGATCGACTGCAATTTTTAGATGTCCCTAATCTAACCTAATCTCTATCTACTTTTTACTTACATATTTATAATAAGCTACAAAATATATATATATATGTATATATATATATCACTATAATTAGGAGCTGCGCGGTCATATGCACGGAGGCTTTAATCACAGCTTTAATAGTACAATTAAAATCTCGTAGAGCTGCCCAATGACTAGCCGACTAAAAGATCAATTGCTTTCTCTTATTATATCTCGTTACTCAATTGATCGTGAATAAAAAATTGCACATTCACGATTTTACTTTTTCTTACGCGTAATTAACTTAATCGCTTATTAAACTTTAATTAATTTGATCAGTTGTATTTAATTAACTACGTTAATTAATAAAACAATGGACTCTTAAGTTAACCAATAATTTTCCAATTATTTAACTCATTTTGTCGTCTAAGAACATACGTTTTACGGCTCTTATTAATGAAACATTCTATCGCACTAATCCTTCCTTAGCGCGCTTACATGCGTCTCCTTTCAATGGAAACAGAAATTAGAAAGAAAAGAGAGAGTAAACAGCAAGAGAGAAAAGAGACAAAGAGAAAAGAAAAAGAATAAACGTTTTCGTATTTCACAGACCGTTTACAGTAAAAATCAGTCTTGCCCAGGTGTGACTTCGCATCCTCTTTAAATCGAAAGCCTCAGGCATATGCGCGCAGGATCATTTTGATCATTTTACGATGTGAAAACTAGATCACCGAAAGAGAAAAAGAGAGAGATAGAAAGAGAGAGGAAAAAGATAGAACCACGATATAAGGGGGTTCGAGAGGCACGCTAGCGCAAATATATATAGCTTTCTTGTTCGATTTGTGTACCTTCGTAGCTCTGTAACGCACAATTAATAATGGATGAATTGCATTTACACGTGGTCGCAACTATCTTAGATCGATTACTCAAAAGTGGTAATCGCGTATAAGATGTGCATTTATTGAAACTAACTACTTCTCCAGCTCCATACGCGCGATTGTCATGGTTCCCTCGCGCTTGCACAGAAAATTGCGGCGTTAATGAACAGGAGGTAATAATAAACTAATAGGTCTAAGGGTGTTTTCGCGAAGAAACAACAGCCTGTTACGCTTTTTACGTAGTAGAACATTTTTTTTCTTTTACAACTCGCATCCCCTATTTCCGCTTTATAATACATCTGTACGTCGTATATGTATATGTATATACAATATATTTGTACACACACTTCGATATGTGGAAAATAAGTACAACTATAGGACTGATTCAGCTCTACCCTCTAACGAAGAATAATTTTTTTATCACGAAAACGCGCACCGCGTCACAACGAATGTATCCATTGACATTGTGAAAGAATAAACGTTTTATGATCTAAAAGAGAAAAAAGCAACATAAGGAATTCTCGTATCCCGTTTCAAGCTAAAGAGAAACCATGACGACTATGTGACGGATCGAATGCGCTACACGTGATTGGCGAAATAAACGGATGTGTGTGTGTGTGTGTGTATTCTCCTAGTGCTAATGATAATAGTTTAATAGCTTATCGTTAGTAGTAGGTTGTAGCAGTAGAGTAATAGTGGTGATGATAGTATAGTAATAGTTGTAATAATAGTAGTGATAGTAATATATAATTGGGAAAATGTCGGTGGTGGTGATAGACGCGGTGGTGGTGGTAGAATTAGTTAGAATAATAGTAGAGTGACAGTGAGACATAGGCATTAGCCTATATATAGTGTTGTTGTTATTATTGTTGTAAAATTAATAGTAGGGTGTCTACCAAACATCTTCGGTAGAAACCAAAGTAGATGAAATTTCGTTCCGTGACATTGCTTTTCCTTTTCCCTCCTTTTGATATTCATGAAAATAGTGTAAACCAATAGTTTAAACATTGTAGACAATAATTACTATCTATATCACAGATCCAAGTGACTAAACTCCTTTAAAAATATAATATAAATATGTGTACGTGTGTGTTGTAATGGTTCACGCATAATATATATATACACACATGTATATATGTATATGTATACTCGCAGAGACGTGATTAAAATCAGACGAAACAAGAGTGCTGAAACTGTGGAGACTTATAGAAACGTTACACGCTTCGATTTCAGCTAGCATCGTGTGTAATGATTGAATAATTAGGACGATATATATACGAATTCTGCGCCGGCACGATCTGATCGCCCAGCGATTGAAAACCGCGGTTGAATCCGCCTCAAGCGGGTGCTATTTAATCTCGTGTTAAAAAAGATGCTCGTGAGTATAAAATTCATTAGATGAACACAAGGTATTAGCAAACATTTTTCGAGCAGCAATCACAATTGATCAATTGTGTCGTCGTACCCCTCTTTGATCAAAAGCGTATCCCTAAACCGAGTGACGAGCGAGCATCCGTCGTTATGAACCAAAAGTATAGGATGCTCGATAGGCACTTTGATCAACCGACGCGATTAAATAGCACCAGTTTTACTGATATTATCGTACACGTTGGAAGTCGATCGATGCTAGGTGAAAACTCGCGTTCAATTGTTACGCTGAATATATTCCGAATACGAGATCGCGGGATTCGTATTCGAGTAATGAGCGTACAAATAGAGCGCGGGATGAAGACCTGGTGGAGGGATGCCGTGATGCAGCTGGTGCGAATGATGCTGTGGCTCCGATGTCGGGTCTAGAGGGGACGACAAGTGCGGATAGAGTTGGGAACTGGGGCTGTCCAAGGGGTTGGAGGAGCCCGTCGTTTGGTAGACACTCTGCGGTGTGCTCGTGTGCTCGGTGTGAGACATAGGCGAGTTAAGTGTGAACGGCGAAGACGCCGAGGTGGGACATACTACTTGCTGTGGTGATTGGTGTTGCGGCAGGGGCTGAGTGACGATGCTGCTGCCATCTAAACACTAGTTGGTGGTCTGCGGATGTAGCAACGGTAGTGGAAGCTGTAGATTGTTCTGCTTGGCTAAACTAGCGATCTCCGCGGCTATGCCTGTGCCTTTGGCTCCCGGAAGGCCATCCAATGACGACGGTCCCTCGCTGTAGCGCAAATCACAGACCGGACTCTCGAAATCGGTGCCAGGCGTGCCAGCGCCGCTACTCTGCGGCGTCGGCGGATTGTGATTCGAGCTGCTCTGATTCATGTCACGATGCACCCGATTCTGATGCCTTATTAGATAACTGTCACGTACAAATGTACGTCCGCAGATATTGCACTCGTATGTGGTACTGGCGGTGTGTGTACGGATGTGAATCGCAAATTGACTTTTGGACGTAAACGTGAGGGAACATCGGTCACAGACTAATGGTTTCTCGGCCACGTGGCTCCAACGATGCGCCGTGACGTAGCTCTTCACAGCGAAACGTTTCTGGCAAATATCGCATGCATACGGCCGTTCCCCCGTGTGCACCCGTTTGTGAGTATTGAGGCTGCTTTTTTGAGTAAACCTTTTCAAACATAGCTCACATTGAAAGGGTCGTTCGCCCGTGTGCGTCCTCATGTGCACTTCTAAATAAGGTTTGCGACAAAAACTCGCCTCGCATACTGTACAATGATAGGGCTTATTCCCCGAATGAAGTTTCATATGCACATAGTAGGACGAAGCGGAGGACAGCACCTTGCCGCAAACTTTGCAAGGTTGAGGCTTCGATCGTGAGGCTTCCTTGACGGTCTGTTGACCCGTAGACTGACGACCGGGTGAGTCCTGCGGCATACCCTGATTTTGCTGCTGCTGCTGATTCTGCTGCACCTGTTGTTGATTCTGCTGCTGATTCTGTTGCTGACTTTGCTGCTGATTCAACTGTAACGTCTGTTGCTGGGGCTGCATATGACCTTCTTGTTGAGAGAGATCCTCTCGATCGTCGGACAGATTCACCATAGAGTTGGATCCATCCGAACGACTGGAAGCAACAGAGTAGAACCCCATGGGTTCGCTCTTGATCTGTTGTTCAAACATGGACGTCATTATATCAGTCTGCTGTGGTTGAACCAGCTGCTGAGACTGCTCGTCCTGCTGCTGTGCTGCTTGCTGATGGGGGAGCAGAGTCAGGTTGCGCTTGACAAACTGCTCATACCCTGCGTACCAATCCACCTGTGTAAGAACAAAGATCTAGAGTAGCGACATCCGCTCCGAAATAAGCTACGCGCTAGTATTATCGTGAATGGTTGTCGCGAGCATATGGTTATTTCAGGTTATACCGAGACGCTTTGACATTTATCGTTGACAAGTGACAGACAGTAGTCAAACGATCAGCTGATTGCATAACTTTTACGCGATGCCGTCGTGCACGGCGCAACGCCGTCGTGAAAAGACGGTCGGCCCGGTGACGCGAGCCGCTCTATTTTTAAAAGAGCGACGATGGAGAAGCGTCGGAATATATTTTAACGACGGAACCGGATTCCTCACCAGCGGCGGCCGCGAGTTAGGGAAGGGGAGGGGATCTGTTGTGCGTCTCCGAAGAAAAGGATTCAAGCGATCGTCGTCGATACGTACCTTTGCTAATGTAGTGGTCCGGGTCTAGGGTTGAAAAACGTCGCGCCTCATCGAGCGCACCGCCTCTCGTCGTCGAGCGGCTTCACGGGCAATCGCGAAACATTTGTACGGTCAAATTGTTTTTCTCCGACACAAAATATAAGATGGCTGCTACTATATTTCACGACGAGCACCTATATGCGCGCACACGCACACGCGCCCATTGCCGTCAGACGTAAAAGCTGGCCTTCTAATTGGTTCTTGTCCTTAAGCCGCATACGCCGCCGCATCAAACCGCGATATGTGAATTATTCGCCATGATTGGACGCGATGACGCGATCCGTCACGATGAGAAATCATACGCACCGTATAATATTTTCATGGATAAGACTGTAAACTTTCTATAACACTCTATATTCTTGCAATACAAATGTATAAATGTATAAGAAATGCAGATAAATTGATGGCAATACACATGAATATTATCTACTCTCGTATAACGTGATCGACGATAAGATTTTAATCACAACTAATAACTATCTCCGTAATACGAAAAGATTAATACTCGTAATGTATTGCATCTTTACGTATTAAAATATTAACAAATGTTAGTGCAATAATCTAAATACATGTTTTGTACATATGTGAAATAACGAATATGACATTTGAAAATTTGTAAATTTCACAAATATGGACATCAATCATGGCGTAGCCAATAGCGTACCGTAACAAAACGAGAGTTCCTCATTGGTCACATCATAGGTAATCTCTATGTTTATAGGTTTATGCCTTGGAGCTCTGCATTATTTACACTTTTTGCACTTAAAGTGAAATAGATATATAACTAAGGAGAAAGGAAGAAAGAGATGAAAAATACAGCAGGGGTGTAGTTATAAAGGACAGACGCGTGTTATAGGTCGCACATTGTCATTATTCCGTGCTGTTCGAGGATCGTGAGCGTGATTTCAAAGAGCAGTATATATTTACACGGTGTTCGCGCTTCGCGAAAGCCGAGTGCAAAAACGATTTGTGTACTCGTAACAGCGGCTTATACGTTACTCCGAACAGAATCGTAACGGTAATATTATATTCACATATATTATATTTGCATAATTTTGTTTAATACTCTCTTATGAAATAATCGCATTATATTCGATATTGTATAATTATCACGTAGCATAGATAATAATTGCGTTATTATAAGTCAATGAGAGTGTGTGCCCGACTGAAGAAACTTTACGGATTAGATAGAGCTCTCATACGGCGATAAAGATACGGTATATTGTATTAGAAATGTAATTATTTTAATATTTAAACAAGTTTTCGGTTGTTAATATTCGCGATATATGTTTTCAGTCTAATATTATTTTCAAATCATTAATCTAACATGTCATATTTGGCTTACTTGAGATTCTTTTAACACCATATTTATTTAACGTACATTCATATATTTTATATTAGAAAAATGGCTCTACCATCAGAGGATGTTATGAACACCAATCTCGATGATCCTGTAACAAAAGCAGTGGTTGATAATATAATGGGCAATCTGCCCACGAAAAAACCTCTCGTTCGTTGTGAAGACTGTGACCTTTCCTTCACAAGCCAAGCAGTATTGGATACACACTTACAAGGTGCACGTCATGCTAAACAGGTTAGTAACAATAACAAATATTTATAACGCGTATTACAGGCAAAGCAAATATATTATTTCGTATTGCCATTTCATAGGTAAGATCTAAGAATATAATGGCAACACTTGAAGAGACAAAGATTTCATTTACAAAAGATGAAGAAACAAACGGACTTAAATGCAATGTATGTAATGTGTGCCTGAATTCTATTCAGCAGTTACAAACACATCTTAATGGTAATGAAAATATAATGATGATAAAATATTGCTCTTGTGATATATATTATAAATTAACTACAATATAAGATTTGTAAATCAAATCAATGCAATATTGTAATAAAATAAATATATATTTACAGGAAGTCGTCATAAAAAGAAATTAATGAGAGGTAATAATAAGTCCTTTATGGTAAGAAAAACACTGCCGTATGGTCTTAAAAATACTCGCTTTATGTATCTGGATAAAATAGAGAAAAATACTGTTGTACTGGTTTATAGTTTAGTATTGTTCGCATTTGCATGCTTGACTCTGCTGCTTACTTTTGCTTTTCACTTCTTTCTATAAACTAACTATGTGAGATTAACTTGCTTGCCATTCTTTTATTGTTACATAATTTCAGTGCTAGTAAGCGCTTAGTAATCATTGCAAATTTGTTGTTATTATGCGTTATTTATTATTATTATTTATTTAATATTTAATGATTATTGAAATATAAGTAATATTTGTATATTTATTATTTATTTGTTTATTAACATGTTATCGTGAAAAGCAATTGGTCACGACTTATTTGCATACATGTTACATTTAATAAACTAAATTTAGTTGACTATTCTTCTCAGATCTTTTTGTACAAATATTACACATATATGTATTAATTTTTTTTTATTTAATATTACTGTATTATAGAAATATTCGCTTGTTATTTTTTAATGACTACCTTATACAAGATATATTACTCGATGGAAAATAAACTAGAACAACAAACGACACATTATTAAACTTTTATAACACAATGGCGTTGTATATATTTTCCTAATTTGCAACTCAATTTTTCAAAACAAAATGGAAACCAATTAGTTTCATATATAATATAAAATATTCAATAAAAAAATATAAAAAATGTATTCTAAAAAAATCATAATATGAAGAACACATAAAAACTATGTAAAAATTTATATTTGATAAATATTATATATATACATATAGATTGTAATATTCAATGATAATTCTTTACATTGCTATAAAAAGTTTGTAAATTAATGGAATATTATCATATAAAAAAAAAAACATTTCGATTTTTACATGTTACAGAAATATATATTTTAATAATTATATGTATATTCCACTTAATATTACACATTCATTAATGATCAATCTTTTTATAGCATGAATGTAGTGTTCAAGCTGATTTATTATCACAAATCACCGCTTCTGCGGTTGTGATACATAGATAGTGTTGATCGCACATTGATGCTTAGGTGAATGGGATGGCAAAGAGGTTGTCACCCAAGGGATTGCATTGGCATCATCAACTGGTAGCGCGCAACAATCCAGTCTCACAAAAGGGGTTTCACTTTCCTGCGATATTTGTAACAAGTTCTTCAACTCCCAATCTCAATATAGTGTGGTACAATAATTTTATACATATATTTATGTGCATGTTTTATTTTTCATTTTGTAATATCACACAATGATTTTTTTAATTTTGTATTTCGGCATAAACACGTAATATTTCTCCATAAATTTCTTGGAGATACATCGTCTTGTATAATTTGCACTACAAAAATTTATCATATATGTAAAATTTCCCATTTATGTATTTGCAGCATATGAATTCGGAGAAACATGCTGACAAAGTGAAGAGATCTAAGAATCCGAATAAGAAAAGATTTGTTCCATATTGGAAAAAAACAAAACGAAATGTAATTCCCAAGGGTCAAATACCATCCTTGTCAAACAACTTTGTATCAGGCGGTATTACATATCAACCATAAGATGTAAACTTATAAAACTTGCACATTTTACTTTGAGTTATATATATAATACATACTAAAGGATTATTTTTAATATTCTATCAATTAAAATTATGGCTATACATATTTATAGTTTGAGTTTTTGCAAATCTTTCTTAAATTAATAAAATACTGTTCTTAAATTATAAAAAATTGTTTTTTAAAGAAAAGAAAGATAAAAACTATTCTATATAT